AAGAGTGCGCGTGCATGAGAACAAGCCGCCAAGTGTGGGACTCGAACGGTGGTCAGCCACATGGGAGTAAAGTGACCTTAACCACACACCACCTGCTGGCCCCTTGACACATTTTTTAAAAAGTTTATTTACTCTTTCATCAGAGAGGAGTTGAGGGGAGGGAAATAGGGAACCCTGACAGGGCCCCATCACACCATGACCCCCACACCCTCCAGGCACACACCATGTTTCAGGACAACTCGGGATCCAACTTCCAGTCTGTGTGTGCTACCAGCACTACAGAGCTGCAAACTACCACTGCATCACCACGACTAGGCCTCAGCACGCCTTCTGCATATTTATGGTGCATGTATATCCACAGGTAATACATACTGCTGTTTAGCATTATGTAAATTTTACTATGTGTTTATTTTCAATTTGCTTTTTTCACATAGCACTGTTTAGATTTCTAGCATGTTGAGAACCGTATCTTTATTCATTTAACTACTACACAGTATTTCCATTGTAAACTATACTTTATTTATTCATTCTTCTGTTAATGGAAACTTAACAGTGTCTCTTCTATTTGGCTGTTCCAAAAAAAGGCTGAAATGAACATTCCTATGCCTACCTGCTGTTGAATCTCAGTGCCTAAAACAACATTTGGAACGTTGTAAGCAACTTAAAAAATCAGGTCCTGGGGCCAGCAGGGGGTTTAATAGTTGACGTACTAGATTACCACATGGCTGACCATGGTTCAAGTCCCAGATCTAGTGGTTTAAAATTCCTGCCAGGTGTGTTTGCCTGCATGGACAAGATCCTGAGAGGGGAATGGAGGACAAGGGACTGCAGCATGTCCATTCCGCTTAGGGAGTGATTTCTCACTTTCTGTATCTGTCTGTCTCTCTCTGGCGAGCAAATGCATCCTATGGCAAAAATCTCTCTCTAAAAAAAAAAAAAAAAAAAAAACGACCCTCAGGTCTGCCATGAATAGTGATGGAATGTGTCTGCTGTACAAACCATTAGCAGAATTTTTTCTTTTTTTGGAGAGATTTTTGCTATAGGGCGTTTGCGCTCGCCAGAAAGACAGAGAGAGACAGAGAGACTGAGAGACAGAAAGCAAGAAATCACCCCCCAGACAGGATGGCCACGCTGCAATCCCTTCTCCTCCATTCTCCTCTCAGGATCTTGAGCACGCATGCACATGCACCCGGCATGAGTTTAAGCCACCGGGTCCAGGACTCGAACCGTGGTCGATTACACGGGAGTTCAGTGACACAGTCATTACTCTAACTGCTGATCCCAAAACCACTAGCAGAATTCTTTTTTTTTTTTTTTAGAGAGATTTTCACTGTAGGGCGCGTGCGCTCGCCAGACAGACAGAGAGAGACAGAGAGACAGAAAGCAAGAAATCACCCCCCAGACAGGATGGCCACGCTGCAATCCCTTCTCCTCCATTCTCCTCTCAGGATCTTGGGCACGCACACACACGCGCCTGGCGTGAGTTTAAGCCACCGGGTCCGGGACGCGAACAGCGGTCAACTACGTGGGAGTCCAGCAACATAGCCATTACGCTGACTGCTGGTCCCAGAATTCTTAAACAGTATGGCATCTACACTTTATTAGATAAGGATGGACTATTTAAAATAGAAATGCCCCTTCATCATTTTTTTCCTCCTATAATACTTCATTATTTTTTGAGATTAAAAATACCTAACTTGGGGGCAGCAAGTGGCACTGTGGTTGAGGCACTGGATTCCCACATGGTGGATCACAGTATAAGTCCCGCACATGGTGGCTTGATTTCTCACTTTCTCTCTCCCTTTGGTCAAATTAAAAAATAATTGAGACCAGCACATGGCGTAATGATTATGTCACTGAACTCCCACGTAGTTGATTATGGTTTAAGTCCCAGACCTGGTGGCTTAAAACTCACGCTGGGCACGTGTGCACACGTACTGAAAATCCCAAGAGGAGAACGGAGGAGAAGGGATTGCAACATGGCCATCCCCCTGGCTTTCTGTCTATCTCTGCACACGTACCCTATAGTAAAAATATTTCTCAAAGAAAAAAAGAAAGAAATTAAATAATTATTAAAATTTATATCTATTGGGACCAGCAGTTAGTGTAATGGCTATGTCACTGGACTCCCATGCAGTTGATCATGGTTCGCGTCTCGGACCCAGTGGCTTAAAACTCACGCTGGGCACGTGTGCACACGTACTGAAAATCCCAAGAGGAGAACGGAGGAGAAGGGATTGCGGCATGGCCATCTCCCCTGGGGGGGGATTTCTCGCTTTCTGTCTCTCTGTCTCTCTCCAAAAACCTATAGCAAAAACCTCTCCAAAAAAATTATATATATCTATCTATATTTATCTCTCTCTCTATATATATGTATAGATAGATAGATAGATAGATTATGTGACCGATAAGTAGCACAATGGTTAAGTGCTGTACATAGAAAGCCTGATCCCCTGTTGCTAACCAGGGTTCAAATACTGGCTCCAGCAGTTTGAAAAAAAGAATCATGCCAGGCACGCGTGTATCCAGAATTCCAAAAGGATGAAGAAATGGGTGAAAAGGGATTGTACTGTGGCTACACCCCATTTTGAGGTGCTTACTTCCCCAACCCTACCCACAAACACACTCACCCATGGACAAATAAATAAATAATAAATAAATAAAACTTGCAGTAACTGAATATTCTGTTTTCATTCCTATGTATCAATTTTATACCAGCAACCTTGATGAATTCTTATTAGTCCTATTAATTTATTGTTTTCTTGGTTTTTTTTTAATAAATATATTATAAAAAAGTTTTTCTTTCATTTCTAATTTTTATTATTTTTATTTCTTGTTTTGTTACACAATAAGAAACTGGTTGTTTCTCAAAAAAACCCTGGTACCTTCTGGTGGGGCATGGTAAACAGAATCCAAGACCTAAGCGGTAGACAGGTATATCGCTACTGGGGAGTCACTGTTTCCAGACCCTTTCAGTGGACAGTACTCGGAGTCTGTTTTGGTTAAATCATGAGTTCAGGGCTGGCCTGCAGCCGATCTCACATGGCCAAACACACAGTTTGAATCCAGGCCCTGGCAGTTTAAAAAGCATGACAGGCACATGCATTTACGAGAGCCAGAGGGTAGAGCACCCCTCAATGGGGCATAGTCACATTGCAGTTCCTCCTCCTCCATTTCTTCATTCTGTTGAGATTTGGGGCATGTTCATACATGAGCCCAGTACATTTTTACAAGGTGTTGGGCCAGGATTTGAACCGTGGTCGGTCACACAGGACCCAGCTCCCTTAATCACTATGCCACAGGGCAGGCCTTAATTTGTTCTTAAAATTTCATTAAAAAAAAAAAAAATTGCCAGAGGGCACATATCCTTGACAGAAACAGAGAGACAGAAAAGTGAGGGGTACCCAATATGAGAGGGACAGCCATATCACAATCCCTCTCCATTTCTCCTTGGGCATGTACCCACAAGCTCCTTGCGTATTTTTCAAGTCACCAGGCCTGGGACTCAAACCGCACAGCCAGCCACGTGGGATTCAGCTGTCTTAAGATGACACGAGCTGGCCCAAATTTTTCTTCATTATGAGTTTGCAATAGCTACTCTTTGTATTAATTCCTGTTTTCCTGTGACGTTCGAGTTTGCTATTCACAGTAACTTACCTTCTCTTTCATGTTCTCAAAAGCTCCCCCCTGGGCCAGTACAGTATTGGACTGCAAATCAAAAATGAATCCTGATGAATCTGAAAGAATAAGAAAGGAAAAATATATTCAACGTCATTCAAACAAACATATAATCTATCCCCAGCAAAGAAAGGCCAAGACTGGGCACTTTTCTCCCATGAAAGAATTAACGAACATAGTTGCTATTTGTTAAATTCTATTATGTAAATAAGTTGTAACTTCTGATATATTTTGGGTTATTATAAAATAAAAGCTGATCTTAATAGAAACAGCTTAAGGAAAACACTAAATATATCAATTACATCAGACTGTTCTGTAATCCTTGCTATCTTTAACTACTTTCCCTTAACTTGAGACCCTCTAAAAATGTTGCAAGTAAATACACAGCGGCCTGTGGTAAAAGGTAACACTAAAGAATCTGAAAATGAGAGTGGGGATGGAAGCTTCTGTAACAGTAACAACACATGAAAGTTACCTCTACACCCTAGATTGCATCTTATGCATCCTAGACTGCATCTTATGCATCCTAGTCCTAGACTATGAACCCCATAAATTCATCTGTTTCCGTCCCCGATCTAGTGCTTGGTGAAGCAACGACCTAAGTTTACATTACCATCAACGTACCTGAGTTTACATCAAGCAAATGAAACTGTACCCAAGAAGCAATATTTCACGTTCACTTTAAGTGAACACTTTAAAGTTCACTTGAAACCTAGGTTCAAGTTTACTTTATAGGAAACCTAAGTTCAATGTGACTGAGTCTAAAAAAGATTCTGGCTTCTCTGTATTTACAAAAAAAAGACTGTCTGCAAATTTAATTTGTTCCTTTACCTGTGACTATATGTGATCAATAAATTACCTTAGCTTTAACACTCAATAATTTTGTTTAAATCCAATGAGACATAATCCCAGGAATGATTAGCAGGCTTTTCAAATTCTGATGTGCATACTCATCATCCTGGGACTCTTACACTAAAATGTAGATTGTGATTCAAGAGTATGGCCTGGGACTTTTACTCCCAACTGACCCCTGCACCAAGGTTGGGAGTAGCTCATGAGCTGAAATTCCAACAAAGCAAATAAAGGGGGAAATCTTAAAAACAAAAACAAACCAGCAATAGTGTAGTCCACTTTCCAAATTATTTTGTTATTTCTACAGATGTGTTTTAATTATTTTAGAGTTCAATCCTTTTTTTTTTTTTTTACGTTTTGTTATAGGGCTGTATGTTCAACAAAGAAAAACAAAAAGGAAGGTGAGAAATCACCTCCCACCCCAACTCCCACCCCCAGGGATGGTGGGAGAGGGAATGGCCAGACTGCAATCCTTTCTCCTTAGTTCTCCTTCTCAGGATTTTGGGTCATGCACATATGTTGCCTGGCATTTCTTTCAAGCTGCCAGGTCTGGCACTCAAACCGTGCGTGCAGTTGACTATGTGGAATCCACCCACCTTAACCCTCACGTCACCGGCTGGCCCATTGCTTAATCCTTATTACCCTGTGTTTCCAAATATCTCCTTTTTGCTATGGAGACCAGTAATGTATGAATCAGAATAACAGCATTTTGGTACTATAATACAACTGGAAAAGAGGACATGAATAGAGCCTATGTCATTTCTAGAGAAACTATGCTTGTCAATTATCAGTACATCTTGAATTAGTTTAGATTTATCTTCTGTTAATATTGGCAGTTTCAAAACTATTGTTCAAACAAAAATCAGCCTCCCCTTATACAAACTTGGTATTTAAGCCTGAGTTTTCAGATGACTACATAACATGATTAATGCCCAATTATCTTTATTAGCTGAAAATAAACACAATATATAGAGATGAATACCATTAAGGCCAACAAGTAGCATAGTGGTTAAGGTACCAGATTCCCACATGGCCAACCATGGTTCAAATCCCAGACCTGGCAGCTTGAAAATCATGCTGGGCACATGTGCGTGTATGCCCAAAATCCTATGGAGAAGAAAGGATTGCGGCATGGCCATCCCCTGGGAGGTGATTTCTCACTTTTCCTTTGTTTCTCTCTCTCTCCAGTGAGTGCATGTACCCTATTGCAAAAATCTTAAAAAAAAAAAAAAAAAAAAGAACTCTCTAAAACATTCTCAGGGGGACCAGCAGTTGGCGTAACAGCACTGTCACTGGACTCCCATGCAGTCGACTGTGGTTCAAGTCCCAGACCCAGTGGCTTAAACTCACGCTGGGCGTGTGTGCGTGAGTGCCCAAGATCCTGAGAGGAGAATAGAGAAGGGACTGCAACATGGCCATCCCACCTAGAGGTGACTTCTCACTTTCTGTCTGTCTCTCTCAGTCTTTCTGGTAAGCACATGTGCCCTATAACAAAAACCTCTCCAAAAAACCAAAACCAAAACAAAAAACTTGAATGTTCTAATGTTCTCTCCCTCAAAGAGGTGTCAATGAACACTGAGATGATACTTACTCATTAATGGATGTCAAAAATCTATTTACTAGAGAAGCAAACCTCCAATCTTTTTGAGGGAAAAGCAAGAATAAAAAGTAAAACATATAAACTGCGTTTTAAGAATTGCTTTATTTAATTTTACTTATTCTTTGTGTGTGTGTGTATGTGTGTGTGTAGGTGTATTTAATTTGGCCAGAGAGAGAAAGAGAAAATGAGAAAACAAGCTGCCAGGTCTAGGACTTGAACTGTGGTTGCCCACATGGGAGTCCAGTGCCTTAGTTACTATGCCACCTGCTACCCCCAATGTATGAACTATTATTATCATAATTACTAGCTTCTTATGCATCATCTAACACTATCTTCTTCTCCCTTCACGACACATGGGGGCCAGCCACAGTAGTGCAATGTTAAGGCCTCAGGGGAAGGACCCAGGTTCACATCCAAGTTTTCTCTGCCCATGCTGGGTACATATGCCTGTGCGCCTGGCTGGCTGGAGGTGGACTACAGCGTGAAGACCCTGATGGACGTCACTGTCTCTTTCTCTGTGACTGTCTCTTTCTCTCTGTTTCTGCTTTCATGTAAAAAAAGAAATAAACATAAAAAACATTTTTAAGCTTTGGCCATAGGGCAGGAGCACTTGCCAGAGAGTGACAGGGGGAGGGAAAGTGAGAAATCACTCCCCAGGGAGATGGCCTTACTGCAATCCGTTTTCCTCCATTCTTTAGAGATTTTGGGCACATCAGCACACACACCCAGCGTGATTTTCAAGTCACTGGGTTCAGACTGGAACCAGGTCTGGCCCCCCGATAAAGAAAAATTTAAAAAGCACACAACAGGGGCCAGCAGATGGCATATAAGGCGCTGGACTCCCACATAGCCAACCATGGTTTGAGTCCTGGAACTGGCAGTTTGCTTTCTCACTTTCCATCTCTCTCTCTCTCTCTGTTTCTCTCTGGTGAGAGCATATGACCTATAACAAATTAAACTAATAATAATAATAATAATAATAAAATAAAAAATTCTTTAAAAACACATAGAGCAGTTATTTTAGTCAAATTTCAGCAAGAAAGGAATAGCATACTCAAACTGGTAAGTCAGAATAGAGGTTAATAAAGGAACAGGTTTTGAAGGTGCTAGCAGGGAGTAGGTAAGTGCCGTAACAGCAATGTGCACCACCATCCTGAAGTGTTAAAGAGTGGAAGGAGAGAGCAGTTCCTGGAACCTGCACACAGAAAGGGATCTTCCATATCTGTTTCACCTAGTGTGGTCAAAGGACAAAATCAGCCCACCGTTAACCGTTGGGAGAGACTGTAGGAATAAATACCCTGACCTCACTCTCCTCCCTGTCTCTGAACCTTCTGCCAATGCTGCCTAGTGGCCAAACCAGCTAAGCCCAATGGCAAGGGAGCCACTGAAAGAGTCTACACAGATCAGGATGCCAGGGCACAAAACACAGCTCCTGCATTTATACTCTAAATCATGAGGTCAAGAGAAAGCAATAATCGGGACCAGCAGTTAGCGTAATGGCTATGTTGCTGAACTCCCACATAGTCGAATGCAGTTCGCGTCCCGGACCTGGTGGCTTAAAACTCACGCTGGGCGCATGTGCATTTGTACCCAAGATCCCAAGAGGAGAATGGAGGAGAAGGGATTGCGGCATGGCCATCATCCCCCCCTGGGGGGTGATTTCTCACTTTCTGTCTCTCTGACGAGCACACGCGCCCTATAGCAAAAACCTCTCAAAAAAAAAAAAAAAACCCACAAAAAAAAAAAAAAAAAAGAGAAAGCAATAATCTAACATTCTAATTTGTTTATTCACTAGCCAATATTGTCTTTTTAAACTTAAACAACACCAAGGGACCAGCAGTTGGCATAATGGCTATGTCGCTGGACTCCCATGTAGTTGACCTTAGTTCAAGTCCCAGACCTGGTGGCTTAAAATCACGTCAGGGGCACGTGTGCGTGCGTGTGTGCCCAAGATCCTGAGAAGAATGGAGGAAAAGGGATTGCGGTGTGGCCATCACCCTAGGGGGTGATTTCTCACCTTCTGTCTCTCTGTCTCCCTACAGCAAAAACCTCTCAAAAAAACAAAACAAAACAAAACAAAAAAAACTTAACACCTTGAGTAGACTCAAAACCTTATTCAAAAAAACTGGAACTGAAATGCCTCTCAGTACTATACTGAAAGTAATTTTTAATTCTCACGGCAATATTTAGGGCTTTACCAACTATCATATTTTTTCATAAAAAGAAAGCCTATGGGACCTGCAGATGTGGTATCATGGTTACATTTTTGGACTATTACGTAGTCGATTGTGGTTTGAGTCCTGGATCTGGCAGCTTAAACCTCACACCAGGCACATGTGTGTGCATGCCCAGAATCACAAGAGGAAAATGGAGGAGAGGGAACTGAAGCATGGCGATCTCCCCAGGAGGTGATTTTTTGCTTTCTGTTTCTCTGTCTCTCTGTCTCTCCAGTGAGTACACACTCCTATAATTTACCTAATTATGTGGGCAGAAAATGCAACAAGATTTCATCTTTTAATTTAGCTAAAATAGGAGAACATGTATTCTACCAGTTTTTTTTTTTTTTTTTTTTTTGTATTTTTTTTTACAGAATAAAGAGGGTCTGCT